AGAAATTAGAAGTCTAATAAAATTTTCAAATCGGACATACCGTAGTTTCATCGATGATTTGGGATCGTCTATTCTTCGTTCTTCGTCTTTTGACTTACCGGTCTTTGACGAATTACCAGCGAGAGTATCGGAGCGGGGAGAAGACTTAACCATCGGAGCTCGTGTTCTTGTTTCTTCGTACTGCTGGTTTCATTTGACCGACCAGGTGCGCTTTGTATATCGAAAAAATCAATCACGTGTTTATGATTGGATGTTTTCGACTTAGCGTGGCAGAGTTTCGTAAAATCGGATTAGGTTTAGAGAATTCAGATTTCTTGTATAGTTTAGGAAACTTTGGTGTTAAGTCAACCGTTGCCGTTTTAGACGATTGGTTCGAACTTATACGAAGAAACAAGTCTTTGCGGTTTTATCGTAAAATCCCAATGGAAATTCCGGTTAAGACGAAACGAGAATCAGCGCGATCAAGACTTCGAGAGAACTCGAGGATTGGTTCAGCTCGACGTAAGGCAAGTCGGGTGAACCCTTTCAGCTCGTCGTGTGGCGATCTGGATTGTAAGAACCCTTGGGGCGAAGTCAGCGTCTCTTGGTCGAGCCAGGCGCTCGGGTCAGCTCGCTGTATGGCGAGCTAGCTAACTCTACGTCCGGCGAGCTAAGACGCTTGGCGCGGGTGATCTCGATTCGTCGAGTTGACTTGTTTTCGTCGTAGAATCTCAACGGAAAGTCCGATTGAGACGAAACGAAAAGAGTCTCGATCAAGATTCGAGATGGAGATGTTTCGATCCGTCGAGCTTGTCCAACTTGCTTAATGGTGAGTCGGCGAGCACAGTCCCGATTCATCAAGCTATCTTGTTTTCGTGGTAAAATCTCAAAGAAAACTTTGATTGAGACAAAACGAAAAAGCAGTGCGATTATTGTTTAGAGTACGGTCCGGCTCACCATAGCTATGAGTTGGATTGTGCGGACCCTCGGGAAAAAGTCAGTGCCTCTGGGACGAGGTGGAAAGCCGGTCAGCTCGCCAAGATGGCAAGCTAGGTTGCTTGGCCAACTCACCGTCTTTTCGGCTGGATAGTATTGCCTGATTCTGCGAGTAGCCTAAGGTTCTTCCGCAAGCAGCCCAGGGTTTTGTCGCGAATAACCTAGGGTTTTTCCGCGAGTAACCTAAGGCTTTCTCCGCGAGTAACCTAGGGCTTTCTCCGTGAGTAACCTAGGGTTTTTCTGCGAACAACCTAGGGTTTTGCCGCGAATAACCTACGGTTTTTCTGCGAGTCACCTGAGGCTTTCTCCGCGAGTAACCTAGGGTTTTTCTGCGAACAACCTAGGGTTTTTCCGCGAATAACCTACCGTTTTTCCGCGAGTCACCTAAGGCTTTCTCCGCGAGTAACCTAGGGTTTTTCCGCGAACAACCTAGGGTTTTGCCGCGAATAACCTACGGTTTTGCCGCGAATAACCTACGGTTTTTCCGCGAGTCACCTAAGGCTTTCTCGCGAGTAACCTAGGGTTTATTTCGCGAGTAAGTTACCGTTTGTTCCGCGGTTTCTGGGAGAGCAAGTTTTATTTTTCCGAAAGGTTTTTGGAAAACGTCTTTTGCTTAACGCGTGACATTTGTCCAACTCGGAAATAAGAAAAACACTATGGGGTTTGATATATTTTATCGTTGCCCTTAGTGATCTGAGATAGGAATCGTGAGCTTGTTTTGTTGATCTTTCCGTGGCGAAGAGTCGCGATTAGGTTTTCGATTTTGTTGAGTACTACAGCCTTTGCGCGAGCGTTGGCTGTAGGAGCAGTCGCTGCTGGAGTTGTTTTACCAGCGTCTTTTTGCGAGTTGCAACTTTTTTTTTCATACATCCAGACATCGTTTTGGTCAAGCATTTTGCGGCTATGAGTAAGAGTAATCCGACCCCCCCTCCTTGTAGCGCCAAACTGTGGGAACCGAAATCCACCTACTGTCAATAAATCGTAAAAAAGGAAACTTCGGGAAAACCATAAGTTTCCAGAGGAACCGGATCTCTGCGAAAGCCAACGACAAGTAACCAACAACGTGATTAATATGAATAAATTGAAAGAGATAAAAAGAAAAACGAGATTGAGAGCAAGAAGGATTCTTATTCCGAATTCGTGTAAGAACGGTTACAACGAGAGTTGCCTTAGCTGCGTGAGCCGTCGGCGAAATTCCTAGTTCTAACAATCTAAGACTAAAACCCTAGTTGAGACGCAGCTCGATAACGAAAACGGAAAATTTCCTAAATGCTAATTTTGGTGGTGAGNATTGAGAGCAAGAAGGATTCTTATTCCGAATTCGTGTAAGAACGGTTACAACGAGAGTTGCCTTAGCTGCGTGAGCCGTCGGCGAAATTCCTAGTTCTAACAATCTAAGACTAAAACCCTAGTTGAGACGCAGCTCGATAACGAAAACGGAAAATTTCCTAAATGCTAATTTTGGTGGTGAGAGCTCTGAAAATCGTCCTTCAGTTTCTGCCCTATGCCTCCTCCTTATATACTCCTCCTTAGGCGGTTTTAGTCTTTCCATTTTGCTCGAAACCGAATATTTCGAGAACTTTCCATATCTGTCGATCCTTCCTTTTCTTCTGCGGAAATCTTCCATTTATCTTCAAAGTTGCCTTTTATCTTCCGTTTGCGAGTAGACCGTCAAAGCATTATCGTATCTTCGGGTTTGATTTCGTTAACGTCGCGAGATGGGTTTTTATCGTGTTTTAGGACCTTTCGGGCCGTTTTACGATAAAAACCGTTTTACGACTTTAATGAGACCATTTCCTGATCCGATGCCGTTTTTTTACGATTCTCTCGACGATTCTTATTAAAAACGCGTTTTTTATAATCTTAACGAAGAATCTCGGATAAATAGTATAGTTTAGGCGACGTTCGGTGTTTTGATTAACCGTTACCGTTTTATACGATTTCTTCGAGTTCTTTTCGGGAAAACGGAGTTTTACGGTTTTTATCGTAAAACTCGAACAATAGGACGGATCGGGACGAAACGGGAGACATTTCGACCGTGATTCGGAATACGATCGTGTCGAAGGACGTATGCCTTGAATCAAGGATGTGGGAGATCGAGGCTCGGGATGGTCGGCTCGACGTACGGCGAGGTAGTTCAGCTTGGCTAGGTCGCCATATGGTGAACTAGGCGAAAAGAACCAGTGGGGCAAAGTCAGCACCTCTTAGTTCGCCCAATGGCGATCTAGCCGGGACGGGACTAGTTCGCCCATTGGCGAACTAAGCCGGGCCGGCTTAGTTCGCCAATGGGCGAACTAGTCGAGTGCCTCCTAGTTCGCCCATCGGCGAACTAAGCTGGGCCAGCTTAGTTTGCCAATGGGCGAACTAGTCGAGTGCCTCTTAGTTCGCCCATGGGCGAACTAGTCGTGACTAGTTCGCGTTTTACGGCTTGTTTCGGTTTTTTGAGGTTTCGTAAAACGATTCTTCGAGTTTTGTAAAACGATTCTTCGAGTTTTATAAAACGATTCTTCGAGTTTTATAAAAAAATTCTTCGAGTTTTATAAAACGATTCTCGAGTTTTATAAAACGATTCTCGAGTTTTATAAAACGATTCTTCGAGTTTTATAAAATGATTCTTCGAGTTTTATAAAACTATTCTTCCAGTTTTATAAAACGATTCTCGAGTTTTATAAAACGATTCTTCGAGTTTTATAAAATGATTCTTCTAGTTTTATAAAACGATTCTCGAGTTTTATAAAACGATTCTTTAAGTTTTATAAAACGATCTTCGAGTTTTATAAAATGGCTTCTCGAGTTTTATAAAACGATCTTCGAGTTTTATAAAACAGCTTCTCGAGTTTTATAAAACGGCTTCTCGAGTTTTATAAAACGGCTTCTCGAGTTTTATAAAACGAACCTCGAGTTTTATAAAACGATCTTCGAGTTTTATAAAATGGCTTCTCGAGTTTTATAAAATGATCCTCGAGTTTTATAAAACGATTCTCGAGTTTTATAAAACAACCCTCGAGTTTTATAAAACGATCTTCGAGTTTTATAAAACGGCTTCTCGAGTTTTATAAAACGATCTTCGAGTTTTATTAAACGGCTTCTCGAGTTTTATAAAAAGATCTTCGAGTTTCATAAAACGATCTTCGAGTTTTATAAAATGGCTTCTCGAGTTTTATAAAACGATCCTCGAGTTTTATAAAACGATCTTCGAGTTTTATAAAACGGCTTCTCGAATTTTATAAAATGATCCTCGAGTTTTATAAAACGATTCTCGAGTTTTATAAAACAATTTCTTTTATATTTCTGCGGGGAGTTTCGGCCGTTGATTCCGTCGTACCGATTTTGACCCCAACACGCAACGTCCTCGTTGCGCCCTACGACAGGTCTCAAGACGCCTCTCAGGTCAGACCTGAGATGGCTAACTAGCTCCGATACCATTTGTAACTCCCCGACCGCACGGCTAATGAGTCACCCACGCTTGCTCTCTCGGCCCGTGGGCTCATCCCGTTCCAACAGTCGGTCCATTAATTTTTTCAAAGGCTCGAAATCATTGTTTACTGACCCTGCAATCACCACCTAACCTTTTCCCGTGCTTTGGCCTCAGTTACACGGTATCACGAATCACTTCTCGGTAGGTCACCCATCCTTAGACTACTCCAGCTCAAACACGTTTAAATCTGGAGTTCTCTTTGGATGTGCTCCCGAAAAGATAAGTACACTTTGGTGACATAGATAATCAAATCAATCCTTTTAATCATATCCATATATCACAACTCGGGATGTTACAATAACATTAGAAATAACTTGGCTCATTTGGATAAATAATGGCTGTGAAACTCGTGAAGCCCTCCCGTAAACTCAACATTGACAATTTGATTATTTAGTTCGTTGTATATAAACTGGACTCTACAAAATAAGTAGGCAAGCGACTCCGTAATCGATATTCTGAATGTTTTGTGTTGACCGTATATAGCATTTAAATATTTTTATGAGCGAGAATTATTAATGCTCATTATAAGTAAAGCCATGAAACTCTTTTACAAAGGATGTCCACTGATCCACCTTTGGAACATGATAAATGTCTCGTCCGGTTTATACTCCGCCGTGTGTCCACCCCCCTGTAATAAAAATGCTCACATTAATAAGCATTTTCACTTCATTACAAACAATGTAGTGATAGTAAGATGTTAAGTTGAAACATGAAGACTTTCTTTGATAGTAGCAAATGTCATTTTATTGGAATAGGTCCTCGTGTATCTGTCAAGAAAAAGAGGCAATAAGGATTTTTAAGTTGATGATAAGATGAGAAAATGAATGAACAGAGAAACGTAAAACATACCCAGCGATTTGATCTTTTATCTTCCAAGGCCTCCAGTCATCAATGATGGAGTAATTCAGAGATTTGATCCAGGCTTGAGTTGCTAGGAATGGCAGCGAGATGTCATGATCACCACTGTTCACCATAAACCACACCAATTTTATAAGCTGTTTGAATCTCTTAGATAAAAGTGGATAATTTTACTATTTATGATATTGTTTTATTTGATATTGGTTTGATTGTAGTTTAAAATGTTGTTGACACCTATATACAAGAGATCGGTATCCGCTGAGGCTGATATTCAAATGATATGGTACGCTGCTTATAATATCCTGATTGTATGGAATAGTCCAGTTACATCGCTGCCAATGTCCTTTGGTCCCCTGTAATCATAGGCGTCAAAGTTTTATATTTATAAAAAACCTTTCTCTATATAATCAATTATCTTAAACCAAAAGTCTGTTGGCACAAAAAGAAATTAAAAACAAAAAAAAGTCTGCATATACCGTTTTAACATGAAGAGCTTCGCGAACTCTCTCGTTGTTGGCCAAACATTCAATGAGATAATAACGATAATACTGTCAAGGCAAACATGTCAAAATGTTTGTTTAACATATCACAGATATTTGTGTGTACTATTTACCAACATAAAGATACGCCTACAGATAAGCTACATGATCGGTTGAACAAAAAAAAAAAGCTACATGATTTTAGTATTTTTCACATGGTTAAGCTTGTATCTGGTATATGTATCTCTAACTTTATAGAGTAAAAGCAACTACCAGAAGAGTAGCAAAAAAAAAGAAAGATTAAATACATTAAAATTTTCTCAAAAAAATACATTAACTATATTTTAAATTCTTGAAGCATAGTTGAGAGTAAACTCTAGTCACTAAAATATGACTATAATTTTATTTTGAATGAAATTTCGAAAATTCAAAGATCGGCCTGGAATGGAGAGTAAGCTTATTTTTATAATATTACTATACTGAATGGTTTTTTTTTAATAAAAAGTTAAACCCAGATCTATTAAAAACATATATAGACCTAATCTCTGGAGGGAGACGGATAGACCATCTCCTAGATATTCAAATGGGTCGAAAGCCGTGTGGACAGTGAGGTTTGAACCCGGGTTTTGCCATATTGGATTTACAATATAATATTGAATGTTCCAAAAAAAAAATTCACTATATTGAACTGATTAGTAATATTTTAGTGACTTCAACATTTTTTAGTGACTTCAACATTACTTACATAGCAATCTGGAGATGTATTCTTTGGATTTCTTTTGTCATCGCAATCAGGTAATAATATAAGTTGTGAATTTATTTGGTCAGTGCACTGCAAATAAAAAGAAGAAAAGTTGAATTAACGATAATATGCAAAAAAAATTAAACTGCAGATTGTATACCTTATGGTATTCTTCAACAAGTTTCAAACACTTTGTGTTACGTGGATCCACATTTCCATAATTTCCCTTGCAGTTTATTTTCAGTGACTGTAAAAAAATTTGTATGCATAGTTGTGACATTTAAGGCTATATATACCAATAATAAAAATAAATAAAGATAAACTCGGGGCCAGGCTTAATTCTTCAACTATAAAATTATCAAGCAAAAAATAACAAATTAAGTATTGCATATATTTTATACCTCGTAGAGTTCATCAGAGATTAGTGACATTCCATGAGAAAATGGAATACGATAGTTTTCTTCAAATTCAAGATATGTTACTGGGTTTCCGAGCAGATAACCCTGGTTTTTGTACAAAAATCAATAACTAATATTTTAGTAAACGAAAATATGTACATAAGAATGAGTTGAAAGTTAATGACCTGTAGATTTATGAGAGGTTTGCAACATTTATAATTTCCTGCATAATAGTGTCAATGCTGTTAAAAACGTGAGAGAATATCAGATCGACTGAATCTGATAAAATAACATACCTTGTGAAATTTCTTGAACGAGTGCCGGAACAGTCTTACCGGAATAAGAATCTCCGGTAGCGTAAAAAGGGTTGGAGAAAAACTGTGGATGCTTGCTTAACCACTGCCCCAAAAAAACAAAAGAAAATGATTATTTTCTAACTAATGCCAATTAGCCGCTGGCAGAATAAAAATCTATACTGCTTCGAATACAAAAACAGATCGTGCTAGGCTTAGATGGGATGGCCTACATCTTGCCAAGATCGATAACTTTACACCACGAGAATTACAACACATACAAAATCTTGAAGGCGCAAAGACAAAGGGATAAATTTGTCATATTACATTTTGAAGAAACTCATGGATCATCTTAGCTTCATTTGTGTCACTAGTTTTACCAAGTGAAGTTCTTGAGTAGGAGAAGCCTGCTCCAACTGGTTGATCCAAGTATATTATGTTTGCCACCTAAACATATGATCAAAAAACAGATTGGGTGTATATTATGCTCGGCATATGAACGTACTTTCCGCTACCTGCGTCCATGAATATGCAGTAGACACCAAAGAAACCAGACTTCCATTGTAAACCTCAACCTTCATAGCCACCGGTCCTGTTTTCCTTTTTTGTTGTTCTTACCACTTTTAACATATCACTGAAAATGGTGCTTAACCAGAAAATGATATTAGAGATTTACCGTTTTCAAAAAGAAGGCCTTCCAGAGAAGAGCATCCAGGTCCTCCATTTAACCATAAAAGAAGAGGATCTTCTTTTGGATTCTTCTCAGATTTTATAAAGTAGTAGAATAACTGCACGTTCTCGTCCTCGCCAATACCAATGTACCTTTCGTTCAGAAGAATGGCAAATTACTGTTTGCAAACTTGAACAGAAATTATTGTTTTGGTAACAAGAAAAGAAACATTTTACAAACCCGGTTTCAAGTTCAAAAGGAAGAGGGCCTTCAAAACCAGGAAGAAACTTGACAATAGAGCCAGAATCAGCATGATGACTGAAGACAAGTAGAAGTAGAAGTAGAAGCAGAACCTTTAGTGCCATACTCATTGTCTTTTAATTTCTAAACATCGAGTCCTTTATGAAACAGATATTTATATATAGATAGCATTGTGTAAATACACTCGTCGGTCCACGTTGAAGATTTGGGTTTCTACGGAGCAACCATTTTGAGAGTCACGTGGTTAGTGCAGCAACCATCACAAAGATGGGTTTCTTTGGAGCAACCATTTTGAGAGTCACGTGGTTGGTGCAGCAAAGCAAATTAAGCAACCATCACAAGGTTTATGATTTATCCAAGGGTATAGAGCTTAGTCTTTAGATCTAGTGTTTAGTATTTAGTGTTTAGTGTGTTACTGACGGTGTTAAAAATATTTTTTAAAAATTTGGTTTTTTTAAGCAACTCATACTATTTTTTATTTATTTGTATCCAAGGGTTTAGGGATTATGATTAATGGTTTAGTGTTTTTAGGATTTATTGTTCAGTATTTTTGACTTAGGCTTTAAGAGACTTAGGGTTAATATTTAATAATTTTTTTGAAACTATTATTATCATCTTTTTATTTTAAAAACATAATATAAGTTGACAATCTTTTGTTTTATTTTTTTTAAAATATTAAATATGAAAGAACACAATTCTAGGGGTTGAATCCAATATTAAGGTTTCTATTTATGGAAAAGGGTAAATAAATAATCAATCATAAATAATGTTAATTATCAAAAGAAAAGAATTAACGTTGTTAACAACGTCAACAAAATCCTAAACCATAAATCCTAAGCACTAACCCTAAACGCTATCAGCAAAATCATAAACCATATACCCCAAAGTTTAGGATTTATCTAAGGATTCATAATTTATCCAAGGATTTAGTGTTTAATGATTAAGATTTAAGGTTTAGGATTTTATGATTTAGGGTTTAGGGTTTAGAGTCAACAAAATCATAAACCCTATATCCTATGATTTAGGATTTATCCAAGGGTTTAAGATTTATCCAAATATTTAGGATTTATTTTAGGGTTTAGTGATTATGATTTAGTGGTTTTTTTATGAATTAGGGTTTAGGATTTTGGTGATGGAATTAACCACGTTTCAATTTCTTTTATTTTTTTACAATTACTATTATTTTTATTTGGTTCTTATCATTTTATTTTAAAATATAACATTACTTGACAATTTTTTTATTGCCTATTATATTATTGGTAAATCTAGAGGTTTATTTTAGGGGTTAAACCCAAGCATAATTCATTTGTTGTGGAAGCACCATACTCTAGTGGTTAAGGTTTAAAGGCTTCTGTACCAGATATGAGGTTCAAATCCCAAGCTATGTAGTTTCTACACCAAGAAGGTTTCGATTTCCAGAGAAGGTGAATGGCGAATTATGCATATTATTGGAGAAAAAAACTTACAAGAGATCTTCAGCACGGCGCAAGATGTACCATTAGGAATGGATCTCATAGGACGACTCAGTATAATGCAGTCAGATGTGAATCCGCATAAGATATGTAGAATTCTCGACTTTAATATCGTCTATATAATATTTTTCATAGTTTGTAATACATAATTAATCAATATTAAAAAAAAATATTTGTTTATGATAAAATAGTGACAGCTGTTATGTTTTTATTATTTTCTTTTTCTTGGTCTTCATTCTAAGCTCAAACCATTACGACATAAATTTGAGCCCATCTAAAGAATCAATGTTTGGGTTATTAACCAAATATGAATATGATATCTAAATTATTAAAAAGGAAATAAAAATAGAAAATATATTTTATCTTTTCAAAAAATTATAACCTTATGCCATTAAAATTAAAACATTGTAGTTTTGCTCTTTCCTTAAAACAAAACCTACATTTAGTATTTATGGGCTTGATTCATTAAATATAATTAAAACCTAATGTATATATATTCGGATAAAAACAAAGTTTGAACCTATTAGTTAAGATTTGACCCGTTTTAATTATAAGTTCATGATCAAATAATCTAAACTAATAACTTCAATTAAATATCTTCTCATTTTTAATGTTTTTTAAACTTGATTTCATTAGTATTATTTTTTTCTCAATAATATATTTGTATTTAAAAATTTCACCTTAAAAATTTCAAGAAAACTTTTGAAATTTATATAGAAAAGCTCGGACATTTTACCATTTACTTTGCAAAATAAACTAAATAAAGCACAATAAAAAAAACACAATCTCATAATTTAAAAGTGAACACTAATCACATTGAACAAGACATACCAATGTCATTCTTAGATAGCACATCCTTTATACATTATTTACCAAGTGTTTTGTACATGTGTCATCACTAAATCATTCTAAGAAGAAAAAAATGGCATGGCTTTTGAAAAATGATGACATGTCATTGATCTAATTATGACATATACTATTTTCCTTATATAGATTTATATTCTTGACAATGTTTGTTTAATATAGTAATGACTATTAATTCATATATCACAATTAATTTAAATTTCTATAAATATTTATTTTAGTACAAATATTTTTAATATAGTAATGACTATTAATTCATATATCATTATTAATTTAATTTTCCTATAAACATTTATTTTAGTAAAAAGATTTAAATATATTAATAACTATAACTCATATTTTTTTTAAACAATTAAAGTAAAATAGAAATAAGTAAACTAAGAAAAAATAATACCCAAAGAGAGCTACTGTACCTATGGAAGCCCCGAAGGCTTCAATCCCTCTTGAAGATCCACCAATTGCTCCCAATACAAGCAGTTCAAACAAGTCGAAAAAGATTGAGCTATCAGAGCAAGCAAGCAGTTCTTTTTTTTTTGAACAACATAGATTACTATTATAAAAATGAAAGTGACAATACAAGAGTTTGGGCCAGCGGCCAAATTAGAAAGCAGAAGAAACAGAGACATGGGCTTTGAGGGCCCTTTTAGCGATAGAGTCGGCTATTCCGTTCTGAGAACGAGGAATGAACCGAAAGAGGATAGAATCAAAGCGAGAGGAGAGACTGTAGATATCCTGGAGGATTCCATAAATCTCTTTAATCTGGCTTTTGTTTTGAATTGCTCTGATGAGCGTTAAGCAATCGGAAGATATTGTTACCGATCTGAGCCCTAATCGGTCCAGACTAGAGATACCGGTGAGGAGGGATATAGATTCTTCCACCAAAGGAGAGGGAACTGAGTCGACGATCTCTGATCCTGAGACTACTCCACCCGAGCAGTCCTTCGAAAACCACCAAGCTGTTCCCGATCGCAGTGATGATGCGTCCCACGCGGCATCGACGAAGCAGTTGATCTCAGATGCAGAAGTCGGCCCCAACAGAGGGAGAACGTGTCGAGGAGATGAAGACGAATCCTGGACCTGCGCTTGATCCCATTCCAGAGCCAAGGCCAAGGCTTTACATGCAATATCCGAAGGTCGATTCGTTTTATCCTCGAAGAGTAGCTTATTTCTGGCCAGCCAAAGGTGCCAGCAGATCCAAGGTAACAGCGGTGATCTAATCCCGGTGGGAGGGAGACAAACAGCATGTCGGAATTTCACCAACGCACTTTTAAGATCGGTCTCAGATGATATTGGGATTGGGTTCTTGAGGGGTATAAAACTCCATACTTCTTTGGCGAACGGACAAAGGAAGAACACATGCATAGCCGTCTCATTTCCTTTGCAACGGGGGCGTGAGGCTGCACTGACTACTCCACGACGTTGTAGCTCACTTCCTAAAGGTAAGGCTCCTTGAAGAGCAGACCATAGAAACAACTTGAGTTTTGGATAAGTTTTAGGAGCCCATAGGTCTTTGATCCACTGGAAATCCTGTGCAGGTTGTGAAGGAGCAGTATCTTGAGTTCTGTCTGCTGGGGGAACGGGTGGAAACAAGGAGTTATAGCCTGATTTAGTGGAATAGATTCCTGACTGAAGGGGGAGCCAGATATGAATATCTTCAGCACCTTCCTTACTTGGCTTGATGCATTGAATTTGCGCACTGAACTCAGGTAAGAGTTGTTCTATTCTACCTTTATTCCATTTCAGATCATCAGTGAGTAAATCAGAGACTCTCAAATCTAGGGCTGCTTCTTGGATCGGATCCATAGGTCTAGAGACAGAGTTGAGGGATAACCATGAGTCTTTCCAGATTCTTGTTTCTTGACCATTTCCAATTGCTTTCCCCAGGTTTTCCTTGAGCAAGTCTCGGCCATAGAGGATACTCCTCCACCCATGAGAGCAAACCGCTGGGAGCTGAGTATCTAAGAAGTTTCTCTTATGACAGTATTTGCCTTTGAGGACTCGAGCTAGGAGGCAGCTAGGGGAAGAAAGAATTCTCCACGCAAGCTTCGCCAAAAGAGCCTGGTTAAAGGACTGGATATCACGTAAGCCTAGACCTCCAGCAGATTTAGGTTTAGTCAGTTTTTCCCAAGTTACCCATGACATTCTTTTCTTATCTGCAGAGTCATCCCACCAGAAGCGAGTTAACGTGGATTGGATCCTTTTACAGAGACTCACCGGCAGCTGGAAGCAAGACATGGCGTAGGTAGGCATTGCCGTAAGCACCGCTTTCATCTTAGTGAGCTTACCAGCTCGAGACAAAAGGCGTGTAGACCAGTTGGAGGCTCTCTGTTTAATCATGTCCACAATAGAGGTAAACAAATCCTTCTTTCTTCTGCCAAAATGTTCAGGAAGACCTAAATACTTGCCCACACCCCCATCTTTTTGTATTCCCAAAATCTCTTTTGCTGAATCTTTAGTCTCCTGAGGGATTTTGGATGAGAACGTAATAGATGACTTTGCAATACTTACTTGTTGACCTGAGACCTTTTCATACTCTTGTAGGATCCGGAGTAGAGCCTGGCAGGCCTCTGGCGAGGAATTACAAAACATCATGGTATCATCGGCAAAAAGAAGGTGATTCACCCGAGGGCTCCCTCTGGCTACTCTAATCCCGCGCATAGTACCGTTGAGTTCAGCGTTACGGCATAACCCAGACAAGACCTCCCCACACAGAATGAACAGGTAGGGTGAAATAGGGTCACCTTGCCTAATACCACGGTGAAGAAGAACTTTCCCATAAATTGACTTGGAGTAGGAAACTGTAGTGATGCATTGCATAACCCAATTAATCCATTTGAAATGAAAACCAAGTCTCTTCATAACTTGTGCCACAAAGTTCCACTCGACCCGGTCATAAGCTTTAGACATATCCATTTTAACCGCCATTGAGCACTGAATTTGGGCTTGTGAAGTTTTTAGGAACTGGAGGACCTCATGAGTAACTAACACATTATCAGTAATAGCACGACCAGGGATGAAGGCTGACTGGTTCTCGGAGATGATGGAGCTAAGGACTGGTTTTAGTCGAAGAGATAGGAGCTTTGAAATCACCTTATAATACACATTGCACAAGGCTATAGGTCTGTATTCTTCCACTTTCTTGGCATTAAGAACCTTTGGAATTAGTCTAACATGCGTTTCATTCAGGCTTGGAGGCATCACTCCAGTGGAGAAGAAGCTTTTGATCTCGTGAATTAAGGACGGGCCTATCACATCCCAATTGGAATGGAAAAAGCTTGTTGAGAAGCCATCAGGCCCTGGTGCCTTGTCTGCGTGGATAGCAAAGAGGGCATCCTTGATTTCTGAGGGCGTGGGATCCCTGGTAAGAGTCGCATTCCATTCATCAGTAATGCAAGGTTTGAGGGCCTTTGATATAACATCATTTCCTTCTTCTTGTATGCTTGCCGTAAAGAGCTTCTCATAGTGGGCACAAATAAGGGTCAATATCTTCTCTTCTTCATAAACCGGGGACCCATCCTCTTTTTCAAGGACTGAGAGACGGTTACGACCTTTCCTTGTTTTGGTGACTGCATGAAAATACCCTGAGTTCGAGTCTCCAAGGGTCAACCATAACTGACGGCTTCTCTGTTTCCAGTAGGCTTCTTCATCCTGGTAAGCTTTAAGCAGCTTTTTGTTTATCTCTAGGATACAGTCTTCATTTGGGAAGTCATTGTTCATTTGCTCTTCCAGTTCCTCTCGGAGATCCTCAATGACTTTCCTACTGTTTTCATGATGTAGTTTGCACCATCTGCAGATAGCTCTACGGCAGAGGGACAGTCTGGCTTCAACACCCAGATAAGAACAATTCGACCATATCTCTGAGATCAACGCTTTAACTTCTCTATTATCCTTTAGTCGCCTATCGTAACGAAATAGATTGGCCCCTTTTTTCTTTGTGGTGTCTAGGAAAGAGAGGACTGGGCGGTGATCTGAACCTTCAAATCTGAGGTATTGGCAACGGCAGGAAGGGAAGATATCTGTCCACTCAGGGTTGCTTAGTGATCTATCCAGGCGGCATCGCACAAGATGGTCTCCTCTTTTTCCTCTCCACGAGAATAGGTTTCCGGAGTGTTTCAGATCAAAGAGGTTGTTTTCAGAGAGAAAAGTTCTGAAGGCGGTAAAGGTACCTTCTGCTCTCACCGGTCCTCCTTTCTTCTCGCTATTATCTATCAGTTCATTGAAGTCACCAGTAAGAAACCACGGCCCTATGGGGTCAGAGTGTAGGGAACCAAGAGTAGACCAGAAGGCAAATCTCTTTGAGTGGTCCGGCTCTCCATAGACAAAAGTGGCAAGAAAAGCCTTGCCTTTCGTGGTTATCCGTGTATCTATGAAGTTTTGGGAGGAAGAGAGGATCTCCACATCAATATCCTTCTTCCAGGTAAGTAGTAGACCTCCACCTCCAGGGTTATGGGGGGGGACAATAAAATTGTTTTCATCTTTCAGCCATGGGAGATCTTTTCTAACAGTGTCTTCTGTGTTTTTGGTTTCCATCAGGAAGATAATGTCAGGCTTCTTCTTCCTGCGGAGATCCTTGAGTCGCTAGACTGTTTGTGGGTTCCCCAGCCCACAGCAGTTCCAGCTCAGTACGACTAAGGAGCCCGGGTTAGGGGAGACCGAAAATCCGAGCTTCTTTTTGAGATGGCTGGGATCAGTTGAATTGGCGGGTTCGATGTGGATGAAGAATTCCCCGGGGCTTTGGTTGTCAATTTTGGGTTTGAGCAACCCTTGGACGAGCTACCAGGTAGAGATCTTTTCTTGGTTCTTGGGGAATTATGGAGTTGAGAGATTCTTCGTTTCTTTGAGCTAGCGCCAATAAGGACATTTGGTGAAGCAGAAGGAGGTCTAGGCTTAGGGCATCTGACCGGGTTCCTCCTTCTTGCTTTGTTGTGGATCTCCTGACGAGTTTCGTCTCTTTCTTGTTCAGGTGCAGGGGTCGAAGTGCCTGGAGGGACAGAATCCGTCTCAGGGGTTGGCCTGATAATTACGGACCTCACTCTAGAAAGAGTCCCTGTGAGATTTCCAAAGAGGGGGGGAGAAGGGGATTGGGGCGAGGTACCAACAGAAGTGTGGTGTCCAAATGCAGCTTTTTTGGCCCCAGGGTTGTGGTCGCTTTTGTTCTGGAGAGGCATAGCCTCGAGCGACCCAAAGCGCAGAGGAGGGTCCAGGGAATTGAGATGGCTAGGGACATGGGTGCTTTCATTTGAGATTGCTTGCATAGCAAGATCGAAGTCCATGCCAGGTGGGCTTTCTTCTCTTATTCCACGTTCCCAAGGAGACAAAGAGTTTATGTAGGCTTCTTTGGCTGCTAGAATAGAAGCCGCTGCCTCTTCTGTATGCGTCTCCTACAAGAACTCGTTGCCTTCTCGCGGTTGCTTCCACCGGGTCTGTACTACTCATATATTGCATTGCTGCCTCGTGTAGGTCTTGGAGGACTTGTTGTCTCTGAAGGGGCTCATCTCTCTGATCTGTATGCGGATTGATCGCCAATTGCTCAATTGAGAGACCATGAGCTCGCATGATTGCAGCAGTAGTTTCTTCAGTTTGCCCATTTGTATCGCTAATTAGAACCCGCTGTCTTCTAGCCGCAGCTTCTGTCGGATCTGGACAGCTCAGATAACGCAGGGTTGCTTCATTGAGGTATTTCCTAACCTCTTCTTCCGAGTGATAGCGTTTCGGAGTGTGGTGGCTAACCTCAGTAGTTTTTTCCTTATCCACATCCTTCTCTCCTAGACCAATAGGATAAGCGCGGGGCATATCCGGATTGATTGGATGAACCTTTGGTCGCCATTCTCGGTGATCCTTTTGTTGGAACAGGGGACGGTTAACTCTAGTCTCTCGAGCTCCCTCACCCCTTTTACGAAGGAGAGGAGGGGATCTGTAGCTTGGTTCTCTTGGTTCGTCCGTAGCATTAAGCTTTCTCCACGAGGGAGAATCGACTCTGGCACTTTCCTGTAATCTAGGGGGAGCAGGTGCCATTCTTGTTTGTTTTGTAGATACTCTAGACCCAAAGGGTTTACCGTGTCTGTCAAGTCTTTCATGATACAAGACTTCTTTGAGAGCGACCCCTGTATCAGCTCTGAGGGGTATGGGGGGGACCTGAGAATCATAGGGAGAGGTTTCCCCAGTTGCCCCTTGGAGTGTTGACAAGCCTGAAGCATATCTGTTAGTTAACTCATTTACTACCAAAGGTACCTCTCTTTTCCTAGCTGGAGATAGAACGACAGGGTTGTCTTCCTTGGTGACCAGACAGTCTTGTTTCAGGTGGAGGAGGGAGTTGCAGACAGAACAGTGGTTTTCAAGTCTTTCATAGTCCAGGTAAATCAAGCTTTCTTCTCCTGAGTCGTACTCCAAAATAGACTGTTTTGTTAAAGGTTTTAGCCCATCGACTAAGACCTTAACTCTTGCTGTCTTTTTTGTGAGTTCGTGATTTAGGAGGGTACCAAGAGCCTTCCCAATGTCGCATATAACTTCGTCCAGCCAGAAGTGGAGTGGGAGCCCCTTAATACGGATCCAGAACGGGATCTGAGAAGGGAAGGAGGGGGAGATGACCGGCTCCCATCTCTGAAGGATGACCATCCAGTAGTTGAAATGGTAGGGTCTGTTGTCCAGTACTCTCTGGAGATCTTCCTCCCTCTCAAATCTGAAGTGGAAGCAGCCATTCCCGAGATCTGAACCAGAAGCTCTCCCCTGGATGTGCCATTTACGGGGAAGAGCTGGTAAGAGTGCATAGAGTCTTTGTTCCTTAGGGTTTGTGACTCTTCCAATAATGGTAAGGGCATTTTCTTTGATGAGTGCTGAGTTATCAACGCATGGAGCTTTGATACGCTTGATGAGAGACTCGTCTTTTTCAGGGAGGAGGCCCTTCCCTTTTTCTTCTTTGGAGAAACGGCGAGACATCACCACAAGATGGTTGTTGACGCTTGTCTTTTCCGGTAAAAACTTCCCAGCAACTTCAAGAAAACACAATCCTGATGGCGGGAGGAAGGATAGGCTTGTGTGAGGATTGGAAAAGTGAGATCTGTTGAAGAATTCGCTAAGAAAAGTAATACGAGACAGGGAAGAGGTTCATGGAGGACGCTACAAAAGGTAAAGAAGTAGGGCTTCTGAGATGAGACGATGAAGAAACCAGTGGATTCTTTCCAGAATCAGAAACTTTTTGAAATGTCGCTTTCTGGTATTTGAACGTTGGTAAAAAAGTCTTCTTGCCTAGGAGAATGTGCCTGGGAGAGTCCTGTCGATCCCATACCGTCTTTTTTAGGGGTTAGAGCAAGCAAGCAGTTCAAACATGCATTAATCAGCTGCTACATGAAGAAACACATGTCTCTCATTTTTAAATCTTTATCCTATGAATTGAGTTTAAAGTCATTTGTATAGAAATAAAATTGAAACCTGCTTGTATTTTATCGTTTATGGCTCATTAATATAAAAGTTTGAAAAACAAATTGACTATGAGAGAACGGCCAATTTGTGTATCAATTAGGAGAGTATAGTATACTGAATACCCAAACTATTTATTTGTCCTATAAAATATTTGAACCAAACAAAAAATTGAATTTCACATCCGGATTTAAAAAGAAATGCATTATAATGCATGTAACTGACAATTGCCACATGCAGATAAACAGTCATTGCTATAAGAATGAATACTAAAGTGGAATATACAATTGGTTTAGACTTAAGCAGGCGTGTGGCATATCAAAACCTAAATAAATAGTTTGATGTAATATTAAAGTTGAGTTATAGTATGATTTTTAATTTGATGTTACTTGCAATAAAAACTGTGTGGTAGAATAGAAACAGTAAGTTGACGTGGTAAGTGTAAAAATAAAAGTTATAACTAGATTTTGATATGCGCTTGAGAAACGTGGATTTTGTTTTGGTTGTAACAAAACGTATCAAATGATTAGATTTGTATTATATGATTGTTTTATGTTTGAATGTGATGTATATTTAACATTTTAGTTGAGTCTTTTCATTGAGTTATGCATAACCGAGTCGGTTTGTGGTTGAACCGAAAATCAGAAAATTAAGTGTTGTGAGAGTATGAAGAATTAATACACATATTAGATCCATATGAAAAATTGGATGGTCCATTAAAACAAAACTTGGATGGGTCCATAGCCCATAAAAGGCCCAAAATTGTATTACAAATTTGTAGTTAAATCCAATAAAAATGATCATCAAATTTTTGCATGTAGAAAAAATTTCAAAAAGAGTAATCATTGTTTTACATGGATAAACACAACAAATATACGAACTCTTTATCTAAAAATATGGATAACATGACTAAAATGTCAAATCATTACGTCTTAAGAAGATGATATATGTCAATCATATCAAAATTACATTTTGGAATTGTCAAAAAAAAATCATAACAAACTTCATTATAAAATTAAGATTAATAAATAAGAAAAAAGATAAATTTAAAAATCGAAAATTGTATAATTAAGAGAAAAGATATATTCAGTATCTAAGCATTAAACTTCTAAAAAACAGCAGAATCTATATAACATAATCTATAATAATAATAATAATAATAATAATAATAATAATAATAATAATAATAATAATAATAATAATAATAATAATAATAATAATAATAATAATAATAATAATAATAATAATAATAATAATAATAATAATAATAAACAACATAACTAAAACCATTATTTCTAAACAAACATAATCCTAAAACGCCTAAAAGATGAGTAAATCAAAAAATAAATAAACAAATAAGAGTAGATCAACCAATATTAAACATTAATAAAAAAAGTTTTAAATATAACAAAACCGGTTGTAAACAAACGGTATATAGTGTTCAAATAAAATAAAAAAGATTAAACATAAACTTAAAAACTTAAGTTTGAGATTGAGATTTGTTAGATGTTCAGTCATACATCATTGGCACACCCAACTTGAACCAATCAATAGTAGGAACCTGAACATCTTGAAGCTTGACTTTGGTAAGGACCAGCTCGAACTCTTACATCATAAGAATTTGAGATTTGGACCTCACCTATAACCAAAAATAAATAATTAGCAATTGAGTAATTTCCTATGTCATAAAACGGAAAAATGAAGTAAACTTTGGCTAAAAAGATTGAGTTAGTAGAAACATCTTTCCATCTATATAAACAATGTGAATTTAGTACAAAACTGAAACATAAGTTTTTATTTTCAAAGAATACCTATATATTGCCCAATCTTAGCAAATCGTAGAAGACATATCACCATGCCTTCAGTTTCTTAACTAGTTGTATGAAGATTCTCAGCAAATTTATCCCAAAGGCAACAAGCTAATCTTTGACCACTAATATAATAGCATATGGAGTTTTAAATCAATATGTATATAGGCATATATCAAAAATCTTAATATATAAAACTTACGAAATGTCCACGAGACTAAACTCCAAGTTATTCATTTGTTTCCGACCACTACACCCTATGGTTCCCAGATCACCCAAGTCTTGAACTTATCCAATAACATCTACATAAAAATATACTGGTGTTAGATAGATTAACAATAGAGATAATTTTAAAAAATGGAAGAAAACTGACCAAAAAAGAAGTTTGTATTTGTGATACTTTCTATGGTCTCAAAATCAACCAGATCAAGAAACATGTTTTCATCACGGTGTGTAGAATCGGTGATTTTGGTAGTGCCATTAAAAGCTATGTGATACTTATGCTGAGTTGATCTTTATGCTGCTCCACCAGCGGTAAACACACTGAAACGATCAATGTTCCTCCATACTCCAACACGAATATGTTTTGCCAATTCAGGAATGTATGTCTTGTTACACGAGGTATGAATCTTAGTTCCCTATATTAAATAAATAAAACATTATCATTTAGGTTAAACATTTACGAAATAAAAACCCTTTTTAATAGTATAAAAATCTAAGAAAAACGATAAACTTACAGTTGCATCACAAATGATCAGTTCCATGGTCTCCCCTATGTTTTTCATGAAATGCCTCCATGTATGAAATATTTTGACTTGGATGCGACATGTAGTTTTCCTCGATTTGATATCACTCAAACAAGACAACTGCAAATCATTTGCCATTTTTGTATTAGGTTTTTCAAGGAAGGATGAATATAGTGGTTAAGAGATGCGATAATTATA